TGGCAGATCGACGACATTTATAGCTTACAGCTCATCAGGCTTATATGCGGGATTCCCCTTCGCAAATCATAGGTTCGGAGTCAGTGCTCGTCCGGGCTCCAATTTCAATAGGTATAGTCTGTTGTCATAGGAACGCGGAGTCAACAGCCTCGTATGCTCGAGCCACTCCACCTCCTATTGGAAGTGTCTCTGGTTCGAGCCCCGCATCCTACGTTTTTCCGATATTTTTTCTGCATTGCCAACTAAGGCTTGCTGTCTATGCCTAACAGAGCCCCCCTGTCTGCCGAAGAGGTCCTCCGATTGTCGCGGACTCGCAAGAAGATAAAGGCAGTAGTCGCTAGAAGGGACGATAGAGCTCGTCGTGAGTACAGCCATCGATTCACAGCTTGAAACGGTTCGTCCATCGCTCCTCAGGCGAGCGGCCTTCAGCGGAGAGCATCTTAGTAGGGAGGACCGGAGACAGGTGTGGCTGGGCAAGTGTTTAGTAAGACTATTAATCTGTGAGGTTTCAGGTCGAAGCTGCCTGAGAATACAGGCGGCTCTGTGGAGGGACGAATACTCACTTTTAAAGACATAATTCAGGTGAGTTGGGAGTGGGTGCTGGTTTGATAGGCTTGGATCCTTGGTTCGATTCTTGGGTCCTACACCTTCAGATCATCCGTGAAGACCTATACATGCCGTCGCTCACCATCAGCGATGACGATCTCAAGCTTCTCTTCCGCACGTTGTTGGACTCCTCTCGTTACCAGAGGCCGCCACCGTCCGTGGATAAGAGTGGGAAAATGAGAAGACCGCCTCAGGCTGTGAGATTCCTGCTGCCCTCCTAGAAAAAAAACATATGATAGTAATAGATACTAGTCGAGGAGTTCGTAAGGTTTATCACTAGAGAAGGCCTTGAGCTCAAGGTAGTTGATAGGAATAATGAGTTGGTGAAGTCGTTGAGGTAGTAGTAGTGGTAGAGTGTTGGTCGTCGCTGATGCTTATCGTGATATGCTAGGGTACGCAGGATAGTTAAGCTAGCTATACAACAGTACTTGAAGAGGACACAGCTGCAGGGCTTCGAGGCGGGGTTGAGAGAAGATGACCTCACAGAGGAACGGCAACTCGGGGATCTGTTTCGGAAGTAGCACTCGGAAGGTCCTAGGTTCGAACCTAGCATCCTGTATCTTTTGATTTTCGGGGGTTTTAATGTGGGAATTGTTATCTTCTAGATATGACAAGGAGAAACGAGGCGACTTGTCTATGGTTGGATTCACTCGTATCATCCGGAAAGAACTACAGATCAGCAACTGGGACGTTAATGCTGAGAGACTTCAACAGATGTTCCAGGTAGTGTAGTGGTTACGTCGTCTCCCCATCAGTCATGTGACTCGGGTTCCATTCTCGGTAGCGGCATTTTTTTGCTCTCAGTTCATAGACGCCGATGGGTCGGGTGAACTTTCCATTGCGGAGATTCAGGATTTCATTCATTCGGAAATAGAAACTCCAATGATTACAGTATCTACCTACTTCCTATTATGACAGTAGACCGTGTACTTTCTATAGGCCCTCGAGGCTGGGGATGAGGATGTCTGCACATCCCCTTCGAAGACGGTTCGGGAAGAACTCGCTAGGCGTTCGACAGGCATCTATGACTGCGAAATGGTGATGTCTGCTGTGGCCCCGCTCCGTTAACACTGATATTTGTACTCAAGTAGTGTTAGATTATATATTCGTTTCTCTAGCTGGCCTTGGAAGTTTCCTCACTTTTGAAGTTTACACACGATTTAGGGCAGAAGTATACAAGAACTAACAACAATTTCCCGAAATTTCTGCTTCTTCACTGAAATTCCATGTGGAAAAAAGGTTCACTGGTTGCTTAGTTCCTACCCCTAGTCTACTACACTTTTCTAGATCTATCCAAACAAATTTTGCTAGTGTATTAGTCTCGGGTAAGATGCACATTCTCCAAGTTCAAATATTGCCATTTTAATTTCTGGTGATCGGGAAAATGTGTAGTAATATTCGCTGAATTATGTGATGCTATGTGTGGATTAGGTAAGATCGGAAATTGTAGATCCCCTCCTAAACCCGTCAGAGGTGGGTAGTCAGGCCTTTGAGAAGAAGCTGAATAAGAAGTCATCGTGAGGCGGTATGAACGTATGAACGTGGATGATTTCAGTTGGTCAGGGCTCGGCAACACCCATTTGAAGGGGCACATGATGGAAGCGTGGAACTTGGGCTGGATCCCGATCGTGAATCAGAGGATCCGGATGGTAGTTTGATTCGAGTGAACTCTATTATAGAGCGCTTGGTTAAGATTGGTGTTGATGTTGATGTAACGCGTTTGAAGCGGAGCATGTCTTGTGGCGGTTACATGTGATGAGGAAAGGAGTTTTTTGTTAAGTGGAGGGCAGCTGTATGTGGAATATGCGTTTGGATTCCTCTGCTGAGCTCAGGAGCTTCCTCACTATGAACGTTCTTGCTCAAATTTAGGTAGGAGTGTAGAATGTCTGTAGTTGAGCATGTACATATTTTCCATAGTCTGTTCTCCTCCTCCTGTTACTGTATAAAGCATGTCGGCTACAGCTACAGGAGACATCGATGTCACCATGGATGATCAACTTCGTATTAATAAGTTCAGCAGGCTCAACCAGACCTATGAAGAACTGGAAGGGGAGGTATTGCAAATGAAAGTAGGTCATAATGGTGAAACATGTCCACGTCGTTGTTACTCATTTGCATATGGTGGCTTTTTGACGTTAGGAGAAGCTGAAGCTGTGTGAAAGCGCAGTCGAGGAGATTGAGTTATGCATGGACGACGACGGGCTGATGTGAGTGTCGTCACTGTTGGTGTTTGTGCAGTTGTTGGGGTAGGTTGAGCGTAGGGGAGTGTTACGTGCCTGTTGATGAGGACGAGGCTTTGGAAAACGTGGAGAATAAAAAGGTAGTATTTGGAGGAGAGTTAGCATGATGGTGGTCTTTAGGAGGAACTAACATCGGAGATGGACCGTCTCACGCAGAAGAGCGATGCAATACAGTAATGCACTTTATAGGGATATCAAGTGAGGACGGCCTTTTGTGATTTCAGCGAGGAGATGCGTGAGCTCAAGAGAGTCCTGTACGCCAAGTTCGGCGATACCATCAATTTGGGTGATCGTGAGTAATTTCTATATACTGCCGATATCAACGTCTTGCGTTGCGGTCAAGGATGAATATATCGATTATCAGGGCGAGCGCTAAAGTAAATGCGCGAAGTCGTATTGCAGTCTCGATTCTTCTATGGGATGTTCTCATTCGTAGTTGTAGGATGATAATGGTTCTGCATTCGGTAAGCGGAGCGATGCGGATGGTCAGTCCTGCATTACGTGAGAGGAATGACCTTCGACTGACTTGCGTTAATAGGTAGTATCATCAGGCTTCAGTCTCGTGTGCTTCTCTAGGAGTGTTAGGTTGGTGACCATTGAGAAGTAAGGATGATATTATATTCACTATGAAGTGATGGAAGAACCGGGAAGGGGCTGTCAGGGTTGGCTCAGGGGTAAGGTAGGGGCACTTGAGGGCAGAGAGGAGGGGTGCAAGATGAGATAGCTGGGCTGGCAGGTCGGACGTAGAAAGAGAGACGTTGATGAATATGCGAAGACGTTGCGGAGGTGTAAGAGAGTCAGAAGGTAGATGAACTACATAGGGTGGGAAGGGGAGGTTTGCTATACCTGAATTCCGTTGGTCTGGGACTTGTCTGAGATTCTTGGAAGATGTTATGGTCTCTCATGATGGACGAGAGATGGTTCTGATGGGCATTCACTGTTTGGTTGTTAATACAATTTATGGGGGTATGGTTGAGAGTTAATATGCAAGCTATGATGCATCCTACGGAGGCTGTTCATAAAGACCCTCCTTTCTACGCTCTCGTCAGTCCAGCTGCTGGAGGAGGAGGTCATTATGATTTCGGAACAGGAGAGGAAGGAGGAGGAGGGCTAACTGCCTTGTTGAGAGCAATGGTGAATGAGGATTCGAGAGGAAGTAGTGTAGAGTCTAGTGCTGGTAGCGGAGCGAAGCGATCCCCGAATGTAAGTTTTCACTGAATGTAATTCTGAATCGTTTTGTGTGAGGTTGAGAAGTTCCCCCCTCTGATGGAGTTGAGGAAGAAGATTGAAGCCTTGGATAGAGAGGCCACAGGAAGGAGAATTCTCAATCACAAATTAGAGGCTCTCAAGGCTCAGCTCGGCCACTCACAGAAGCATGTTAAGGAGTGCTCGGGTATAGAAAGGCGGCGGGGTTGGCTGGCTATAGTTATATAATCAGATTTTACGGAAAAACTCGCACAAGTGACGTGGGAGGCCTATGAGGAAGTTTTGAGGCTTCTGGGTCGGCCGAACATAGTTAGAGGAGAGGCGGTAAGATGAGGGTAGAGGTAGCAGTGTGGGAATATATGCGTTTGGTTTCCTCGACGCCGCTTTAGAGTTTCCTCACTAATTATAGAAGTCCATATACGAATCCGAGTAGGAAATAGTTGAATATTTCCCAAAACTCCTCACAATTTCTATTTCGACACCAACATATGTGATTGACAATGTGCATATTTTACCACATTGAGAGGTAGCGTTGGGGGATGCGTCCTTTTTAGGAAGTGCTCGATGGTTTGTCTACTGAGGACTACACTGAGGAGTTGAGGGAAGCATTGGAGATGGAGAGGGAGTTGGTGAAGGCTAATGAAGAGTTGGACGCGGAAATTAAGGCGGAGATGGGAGGGAGAATTGCGATACCACACCGTCGTGAAGAAGCTCCGAAAAAGCAGGTGAAGCCGGTGTCGGAACTGGACCGCATCTTGCATGAGTTCGAGGCCTTACAGAAAGAGAGGAAGTGACGTCATGGGATATAATCGAATTATGCAAGTTAATTTCCAATCACTGAGTGGCTTTGCGTTGCTCTTTTGTGAGTTTGGTCACTAGATTGTTCAAGTCATGCCTAGGAAGGAGAGGAAAGGACCAGATCTGCATCGTGGTGGACACGATCATGTTATGAATCATCAGTATAGGCCAGTGATGCACGATGCACCCCATGGTGATTATATTGACCACCCCTATCATAGAGATCATAGCAACTTGGGACCAGAAGGTCACAAGAAGCATGGGAAAGGTGAGGGTAGGGAAGTGGGAGGAGATGTCACGGTTGGCTCAGGTCATAAGGAGGTCAGTAATGCTCCGGAGTCCGCTCTAACAGATCACAATATGCAGCAGCATGAGCGTGGGAGGCAAGCTCAGGGCAAGCATCATCACAATCATGGTCATGCTCATCATCATCCACATGAAGGTCATCATCATGGGAAAAACCATCATTACCATCACCGCCCGAACGATCACAGAAAAGATGAGTGGGAGACTGTGCAGAGAGGCTTGGTTGCGAGCGCCTCGCAAACTTCTATCGGGTCTGCTCATGGACTTAGCTTTGAGGAGGCGTCCATGAAAATGAGCTCAGTGCCAAAGAAGCACTTTATGAGTGAACAGAGCGATGCGGAACAGCTTTCATCTGAGGAGAGGAAGACAATAGGCAATAGGAAGATCAGAAGGCAGAGGTCTCAGGAACAGCAAAGGAGGGACAAGGCAGTTCGAAAACAGGTGTTATTTGCCTTGGACAAATATCTGAGCTCAAGCGCGGCATTCAGATAAATAATCAGTCGCCAACTGGTCAGTCCACTAGGGAGTCATTCCAGGTCTTCCATCCCTTCGACAAGCAGTTCCCATCGTAGCAGACGTGGCAGATCTGTTCGCCACTTTACTAGGTGCTGTACTCAGTTACATGGGACAGGAGGACTCCAAACGAGTGTCGACCTACAGTCCATGGGATCCCGACTTCGTGGGCCACGCGGCTCATAGACCTTGGCTCGGTAATGATGATGAGGAGGAGGAGAGAAGCAATAGGAAGGTTGGTTAGCATCACACTGCTTAGCATTGTGCGTTGATCTCTCGCTGTCTCAGAGGAGTAGTAGGAAGAGCCGGAAATCACGGAAAGGTCAGTCCATGCTGATGCAGAGTGTCGTTGACTTGTTGCAGGTAAGTCGAAGTTTTCTGGACTGCGACGGCGGAAGTATCAGAAGACATATGAAGGGCAGTGGGGGAGGTATGATTGGTCAGCTACTGGGAGCGCATCCAATTTGTGTAGTTATTATCCTGTCTCTCCGTGGAGTGAGGAATGGTCATTAAAAACATATCGCAAAGGAGGCAGATTGAGGGGGCAAAGAGCAGATATGAGAGTAAGGCCGGTAAAGAGAAAAGTATCGATATTACGAATACCCGGCAATAGCTCAGTTGGTAGAGCGTCCGACTGTAGTGATTTAGTCATCGGATGGTCCCTGGTTCGATTCCGGGTTGCCGGACTTGTTATACCTATTTTGTCTTCTATTGGAACTTACTAGCCTTAATCTGCGAGGAACGGCCTTGGCCGCATTCATGAGACGTTCAATCCCTCTCAGAAAGTCCGCCATTTCCAAACTTACTCCCCATTCGATGAGCGATTCGCTACAGCCTGTCGAGTGAGCTTCTATGAGTAGGAACGAGTACCTGTCGGATGTGATACCACTGATTGATTCTTGTTGAATAACGATAGATACGATGATCCTAATGAATGGTTCACGAGCTACTCGCCTTGGAATAATAAGTTCCCTCATCGCTTCTCATCTCGAAGGAATTGGAAGAGGAAGAATAATAAGATTGGCCGATCTTATAACATCCCACGATGGAATCAAATTGAGAAAACTGCATCCCAAAAACATTCACAACAGTACGTCGTCGGAACCTCTTGAGGGCATGACCAATGCCTTGTCAGACTATCTAAGACACACAACGGGCCCTATGCTGCTTCGTATCAGTCAACTCATCCGGCTAATACATTCGATAACTCCAATGCGAGTGGGCTCGTTAAGAGCGCGAGTGCCGCCAGTATCGGCAGTTACAGCTTCTTCAACTTGTCGTCTGCTGAGCTGACCGCCGATGGCTCGGCCAACCTGATAAGACAGCTTTCCCAAAGTGGACCATTCCAGACCAACCTTCCCGATATTATAGACGCGGCTCGGTATAGTCACCAGACGCTGGCGGATGCCTCTACAAGTATGTCGTTCGGGAGCGGTAACTATTATATGACGCCGAGCCCGTACGTATCGACTTCAACGGGTGAAAGTCAGTATGCCTCCTTGAGGCACTCGACTCAAGGTAAGCACTGGAGCGGCTCGTGCCGGACTGCCCCTTGTTAGCTGCTGTGGCTAGTGTTAAGACTTTGCCGAGAGGCCCAAGGTATACACCACCTAAATCTGAGCATCCACACCATCAAAGAGCCCATCATGGTAAGTGAGATGATACGAAGCAACTACAGTCCTTGTACATTGTTTGAGTCATGAATAAACGATACCTCAGGAAAACCGCATCATCCTCATCATCATGGCAAACGTGGACACAATCACGAGGAGGACGGCTCGGTAGGCTATGGCTTCATGGTTGTTGTTGTTGTTCCTACATGGTCACGTCGTCTTAGCCCACTGTCTTCCAGAAGATGGTTGCTGCCAATGACGAACGTGTGATGCAGCAACTGAATAATGTTGAGAGTGAGGATCAGGCCTAAGCTCAGGGAGGCGATGATCAGCGCGTTGTCTCTTCAGGGAGGCCAACGCAACAGCTACAGCACTCCTCCTTCAGTACTTCAGCTATACACATGAATCCAGATGTCATCAGAGCTGGGTGAGATTGCTCAGTTGGGGAGACGACATATATACACTTTTCAGGTTGGTGAGACTACCAGCTCATGAGGTGGATGAAATTCCGCAACCAGTGAGAATTTCCGCGTTCTCTACGATTGCAACACAAATCTATTTCCTCAGGTTGCATCAGCCTTCCCAAGGTTTTCACCTCTGGCGAGGCTACAACACCCTCCCCCACAAGGCGTAATGGGTCAGCATATGAACCCCCTTGCTGGCCCCAATCCATTCTCAACGGCCAATCTCTTCGGCATGCCATCTACTGGGTGAGGAATATTCACAAGGGCTACTCATTGAAAGTCAGCTGGTATTCAGATTTGCCCTACATTGAAGACGAACTAACTGACAATAGACCAATTCGTGCAGTATGTTGTACAACAAATTCTTCATCTACAGTAACTCATTTCATGATAACTTCTTCATGACAGCAGGTGTTTATGGTCAGCGAGTGTTTTGAGTTCTCCCCATTAGTACACGTTTCTAATAATAACACGAGACGGTGAGCTGGAAACGCACGCACTGTATGCGAATGCCACATTTAGTAGGCAACAGGAGAGAATATTCCAAAGTGTATAAATACTTAGTTGGTATGCTTAAGGAGATAATTAGCAACACCCTCAGTAGTGGGGATCATAGTATCTAGACCCTTCTTCCAGTTCATAGGGCAGACGACACCGTGCTCATCGGTCTCAATAACGGTATCCAAAATACGAAGGACCTCATCAACGTTACGGCCAAGAGGAAGATCGTTCTTCATCTCAGAGCGGACAGTACCGTCCTTACCGATGATGAAAACACCGCGAAGAGCAACGCCGTCGTTCTCAAGGAGGACGTCGTACTCACGAGACATCTTCTGGGTGTGATCGGAGAGCATGGGGTAGCATAGCTGAGTTCCAATACCGCCATTCTTCTTCTCGGTGTGCTTCCAAGCCTTATGGACATCAGCCGAATCAGTAGAGCATGCGAGGACGACGGCACCGCGCTTTTCGAACTCAGCCATCTTCTCGTGGAAACCAATCACTTCACTGGCGCAGACGAAAGTGAAATCGCCGGGGTAGAAGAAAAGGACGACATACTTGCCCTTGTAGTCTGAGAGCTTCACATGCTTGAAAGAATCATCGGGCATGCAGGCCACCAAATCAAAGTCGGGAGCGCTTTGCTGAATAAACATTGTATGAGAATAATAGGGTCGAAACAACTGAACAAACGCCTTACATACCATACACCATAGTCTTACATTCGTTCGCAATAGGAAAGGCTGACTTCTAACGACTCCGAGGGGTTGTACAGGTTTTAGCTAAGCTTTGAGGCCGATCGCACAAACTGTCTCCCCAAGGAATCGTCGTCCCTTTGTGTGATCGCGACAGATCGACTCGAGATTCGGGAAGCTAGGTGAGACAAGTGAAGTTCAATGACATTAATTCCTCTGGGTTATAAGAGGAGATGGAGAGTTCACTGTCAGATCTCCGCCCTTTTTCCCCGTGACACCAGCGTGACACCAGCGTGACCTCGCGCGATCTCCCCACGTTTCTTATAGTATTAAAGCGTCACCTAACTATTTCATAGGACACCTACAATACACCACCCTGAAATGGAATTTCAAGTCATACCGATTCAGCAAGTCACGCTCCTTAAGACCAGTTATATTGGCGAGCAGTGTGGACCGTTGGACAGCCTCGTATTGTAAGTCCATGTTGTTAGGTGATGAGTTTATTCTTCCAGGCAATTTTTTCATATTCGCGTTAGTTCACACGTTGTGTACTCTCCTTGATAACCATATTCCACTCAGCATATGAAGCCACTATGGGAAATCTGAGATGTGCCTTCGAATTGTTCCTTATCACTATCAAGCACGCAACTCCAGTCACACAATAATGCCCTGAATAGCATCGAAACGATCTGCAGATCTGCCACTAGGGCTTATAATAGGTGGAGACAAAATCATCAGGTGTTTCATGTGTGCTTCATGAGGTAGTCAGCAACCCCATCTGTACTCGGTATCATGGTGTCCTTCCCCTTCTTCCAGTTAGCAGGGCAAACCACGCCATGCTCGTCAGTTTCGATGATACTGTCGAGCACGCGGATAACCTCGTCGACATTGCGGCCAAGTGGAAGATCGTTCTTCATCTCAGCACGGACTCGGCCGTCCTTACCAATGATGAACACACCGCGAACAGCCACGCCCTCGTTCTCGAGCAAAACGTCGTACGCACGAGCCAGATCCTGACATTGGAGAGCATTCCATAGAACGTAACATGACAACTTCTTACCTTATTAGTATCGGCGATGATGGGATGGTTAATCTTAGTCCCCACGCCACCCAGCTTCTTCTCAGTGTTCTTCCACGCTTTGTGCACGTGCGCAGTATCACAAGACGCGCCCAGAACCTACTACGGTCGATAATACTGAGTACCGATACCGATACAAACCTACGACGCAGTTGCGGCCCGAGAACTCGGACATCGCGTTGTGGAAACCTATAGTTTCGGAGGCACAGACGAACGTGAAGTCGGCTGGATAGAAATACAAGACTACGTATTTTCCCTGAGAACCAACTTGCTGATCAGCGTCGATCGTACGATCGTTCGACTTTACCTCGTAGTCCGAGAGCTTAACGTTCTTAAAGGAGTCGTCAGGCATGCAGGCCTGAATGTCAAAACCCGGAGCTTGCTTTTGGATGAGCATGGTGATAAGTTCGGGACCGTAGAACAGCTTGGGGGGGGGAGGGGAAGATTTCCTATCGATGTGAATTGATACACTCAATGCCACTATGGAATAGATTAGAAACACACGAATGCCACATTTAGTAGGCAGCAGGAGAGAATATTCCAAAGTGTATAAATACTTAGTTGGTATGCTTAAGGAGATAATCAGCAACACCCTCAGTAGTGGGGATCATAGTATCTAAACCCTTCTTCCAGTTCATAGGGCAGACGACACCGTGCTCATCGGTCTCAATAACGGTATCCAAAATACGAAGGACCTCATCAACGTTACGGCCAAGAGGAAGATCGTTCTTCATCTCGGAGCGGACAGTACCGTCCTTACCTGATACCAAGCAGAAGGCTTCTCTACGTAGATGGACTCAGTAAGTGTCAATTCGCTCTCAACCTGACAGCGAATCTAATGAACCCAGCCATGATGAACTCAACTCACATCAGAGAAACTCGCGCGCGCCCAAGTAATCGATATTTTGCTGATTTGACTCGAATATTCTCGGAGTGCGTGACATCTTTGCTATTCGAATTCAGTTGTTGAATAGTAAATGTCGAGAAAGTACTACGAACGTCTTGTCACTTCAAGTGGAGTCACTTCTAAGAAGTTCGAGTCAATTCTCGGTGCCAAAATCCTTGGCAAATTCGGCTGGAAGACCGGTGACGGCCTCGGCGCGGATGGTCAGGGTATGACCGACTGCTTACAGGTCAAACGCCGTGAAGAAAACGAAGGGGTAGCCAGGACACTTCGAAACTGACCTGAAATGAATATTTCGGCATTCAGTTGGGTCGCGAACTCGAGAAGAAGGAGTCATCAGAATGGGAGAACTGGTGGGCAGACAGCTACAACGCCATTGCTAGGAAACTCGCCAAAGTACACCATAGGAGTTCGAGAGTTTCCCATTAACGTTTTCGTGCTCTCAGTCAGTGGCAACTACAAGCAGTGGCAGCGACGAGTCTTCGGATGACTCCTCTGATGATGACGGGGGAGGACGGACGACGGCTATCAAACGCGCCGATATGCAAAAGGGAAAACTTCGGTGAGTTAATGTGGAAGGAAATGTTATAGGAGCTGTCATGATCAGTCGGATAATGCGGCAAGAACGGGAGGCTACGACTAAGAAAAGTGAGAAGGAGAATTCTGAAGAGGAGGAAGAGAAAAAGCAAAAGTCGAAGTAGTACAGGGAGTGTATAATTTTGGTAGAAAAATTTTTACACTACCCAGGAAGCATCATAAGGAGAGCCGTAAGCATAAGAGAGTCGTGGCTGAGGAGGAGGAGGAGGAGGCACCTAAGAAGAAGCATAAGAAAAGCAAAAAGTCGAAGCGGTCGGCTGAGGAGTGATTGACCACGAGCCTTCAGTGTAAATAGCATGTTGGACGCCGTTGATGACGACTTCAGCATTTTTCCTCGCCGCGATTCCGCGAAGGAGCGGTATGATGGTATTTTCTCGTATTTCTCTGGACTCCATTATCTGCCTGCTACTGTACGTATTACTCGACAACATCGCCATCTCAACAGATTGAGATTGTCTAAGTGCTGTTGAGTTCACGTTCAATTCACTAGTCGTGGGAACTTTCATTGCTCGAATGCTTCCGTACGGACGGCTGAGAGGTCGGCATACTTACTACAACCATATTGCACCGATAAAATACTCAAATGAGATGTGTAGCGACGAAATGGTGTTATTCACTGGGGGTGAAAACGGCAGGTTTTCGGTCACGATTTCGGTTGATTTTTGGAGTCGCGATGAAGACAATGGTTTTCCAGTGCCGCCATTATCATCAATCACGAGTGTCGGAATGTTTATAGCATCTGCTCGGAAAAGCTCGACCCTGCACTGCGGCGTTCTCGATAATATGGCTGCTATTTGATAACCAGTAACGCTGGAGCGTTAAACACGGAAGAATATTATGTTGGGGTTGTAGTCGTCGCGGATACCTATCGAATTCTAAACATATGCGCTTCAGATTGGTAGTTGATCACATGTCGGGTAGCTCTGGAGTTCCACGGCTGCCTATGATGGAAAGCCAACAGCAAGGAGGTCCTTCGGTGCGACGAGCCAGAGTGATGACCAGACTGCAGCAGATTGAACATACCTCCAAGTACGTGGATGGACGGAGTCAACGGTCGATGTTGTTGTTGAAGGTATAGCGACTGCTTCGCTTTGCTGGACCAGGACGAGGATGGTCTCATTGGCCCAGAGGAGCTCATGGTTGCTCTCTCATCCATAGGTTGGCACTTCTCCAATACGCGGGGTACACGTTGGACAGGTCTCAGGCCAGACGCAACTGAAATCGACGAACTGATGAAGGAAGTGTCTCAGGGCGGCGGAGGAGGTGAGATTCCCGGCATTCATAAAGATGCTTTCGAGAAGTTCTTGGAACGCCACTTCACCGTAAGTGTCGGACTAGCAGTTCCGCTGGAGGCTCTCTTAGTCTCAGAGTTCTGTCCACGCTGCACCGCATCAGGCTGCGGCGACAGAGTTGAAGACTGGATTTCAACTCCTTAGCGGAGCGAAGCAATTGGTTGAGCCTAGCGACATCCGAGTGATGATGGCCAAGGTTGGCACGGAGCTGACGGAGGAGGTGTGGCGAGTGGAGATTGTTGGGAAATAAAAAGGATGTTTCAGGAAGCTGAAGAACTGGTTTTCCAGCATGATCGTGCCGACAAAGGTGGACTCACTCTGGAGGAGTTCGTGGCTATGGTCGCCGATACTAATGCAACAGCAGGTCTAGCCAAGATGATTTGACTTGTCGGCCATGTGCATGTATGGTTTGTTCCTTACGAAGAGCATCTTGAGTTACTTTGAGTAGCTCCCGAGGGGGGAGTACCCAGATGTGTGGATTAGCCCACGTTAGTGTTGGTTGCCGCGTGGATGACATTTTCTCAAGCGTAGAACATGTAATGGTTCTACTGTGTTTTGTATGAGGAACGACCACTAATGCAGAGCTGACGCACCCACATTGATCAGCGAACATGGGAAGTGTGAGCGAGGACTAGCAGGTCTCACATAGTGCATGCTCCGTTCTTCCGAAGACCTCTGACATATACTCACATGGATCGCGTTTTGAATATGAAAGGTGACGTATTAGATAGTAAGACTCGTTTAGAGAGGTTCTCGACGATTCGTCCACAACAAAATTTCAGGGGAGATTTTCTGGAGCCAAAGGTTTCCATTGTATAATTTTTGTGTCGGCTTCCAAATTTGTGCATTTGAATTGAACCTCATATGGTGGTTCCCATCCGAGCCAGGCGGGTCGCCAAAACCGCCTCCATTCACTCTGATTGAAATTATGCTTGTGAATAGGTCCACGATTCGCGGATTCGAGTCAAGCACTCCAACAACCGGAGTAATTGCACGAAATATTGTGGTAACCACAATGTGGTCACCAAAGAACCCCAGATATATCCCTCAGCGAAAACCGGTGACTGGATAGCCTGTTCCAGAGGCAAACGATTGATTCTATACCGGGTTATATCGTGAGGGGACTTTTTCAGCTCACCGATGCTAATAATTCGCCAACCTAACTCTTCAACTCAACAACAACTCGCTTACGATGGAGAAGACAAAAAATAAGACTCCAATAAATAACGAATGTGAAGCTCTATCGTCGTGATGTTCTACCAAGAAGCGCGTACACGGGCATCTAGTACTAGTTACGAAATAAGATTCCCATCACACAACAGGGTACAACAGCTCTGGAGCTCTACGCTATTCCTAGCCTCACTACAGCAGTACAACGTCTGCTTCTCCTCCAATACTGGAGTGTAACACAACGAATAGGCAACGACTGCTAGTTCAGAGTCGCCCCGCCTTCATCAACGCACAGAAAGTGTTCGCCTGGGCGCTCTGCACTCATATAGCAATCATCTACTTGCTTTCAACAAGGACATATAACTTTTTCAAATGTTATAAATGTAGTTTATCCAGCGGCTGCAGTATGCCGCAAGGATAAGTGCGCAAGAATAAGATTCTATTGAGTATCAATGAACATAGCGAGCCTTGCGCCTGAGCACGACTATGGTCAAAATACGGAAAAGTATAAGCATGCCGAGGAGCACGCCAATGTCAAGACCGAGTAGATTGGCGTATATAGAGTTCATCTTCGCTAGAGTCGGCATATCGAAGCCGAACTCAATGAAGTAACCAAGGTTCACGCCGTACTTGAGGTATGAGATGTACTGTCCCCAGCGTAGCCACACAGGAACCCTGTCGAGGCTGATGAAAAGGCCAGAGAAAGCGATTTGAGGCATGAAGAGCAAAGGCATCAACTGCATGGCTCTGGTTATGGTTGAAGTAGTAGCACCCAAGAGCTGCGCCAGAGAGGTTGATACCAGATTGAGCAGCCATAGAAGCAACAACCACAACACGAAGTTGCCCTGCAGATTCACAATCCAGTAAAAGGCGACGACTTGAAGGAAGCATTCCAGCAGTGCCAAGGGTAATTCCACCATGGTCTTGGATACCACATAGGGGATAACCGAATACATGCCACTGGTGTACTCTCTTAAGAATACCATACGTTGCTCAGGATAACGGATAATCGCTGTTTGAGCTGGACCGAACAGCTGCATTAAGCACATCATAACTACAGCAGAGAAATAGGGCTGAAAGAGTCGTACATTCATCAGCCAGAAGAGCTCTGAGCCTGGTCTACCAGCGTTATGGAAGATACATCCCAATAGTAGGGTCGTGAACAGAACCACAATATAGCGTATAATGAACACGCTAGGTTCCCTCATAACGGCTTTGAACTCACGTAAAGCGAGCATATGGAATTGTTTATGAAGGCCGGCTCGATATGGCGGTTTAATATTGCGAGTATGAGCAGCTCCATCAGGGACATCCTTTTCCAGAGTAGAGCCGTTAGCATCACGACCATCGCTGATCTCAGCCTTGTATGCTTGAACTAAACCGGCAATGACCTCAGGTCGCTCAGTCTGGAGTGTGTATAGAGTGAAGTCCGCGAGATTGTAATGTGGTGGGCAGGTCAGCTTGGCATGCTTAATAAAGAAGTCAGAAAGGGAAGTCCTCAAGCCATGGTAGGCAATCTCCCCTTCGCTGATGACCATGACCTTGTCGAAGAGTTCGAATACTTCACTTGAAGGCTGATGAACTGTCATAAGAACCGTGACACCAAGCCTGGCCAAGCCCTTGAGGATCCTCGAGGTCGTCACAGCCGCATAAGAGTCCAAACCAGTTAAAGGTTCGTCCAAGAATATCATACTTGGCTGAGTTATCAGCTCCACCCCAATCGAAGTCCTCTTGCGTTCGCCACCAGATATACCTCGGGTCAGTTGGTTTCCCACCATAGTAGTCTGACAAGAAGTCAGGCGTAGGTACTCCAACATATCGTCGACGATAGTCTTAATCTGACCACGGACCAAGGATCACACCTATGCAAACCGTGTATATCATCTTACCTCTTGCTTGCTCTTATCCAGTTTTAGAGTTGCCGCAAATTCGAGTATCTCTCGAGGAGTGCTCGTCGATACGAGAGCATCCTCTTGCATCACATAAGCGATGCTATCACGGAACTTCGAAGGAGCCGTAACCCGACCATCTAATGTCACCACGCCTTCGACCTTCAGGTTGCGACCAGAAGGATTCTGTCTTCCACTTAAGATGTTCATCAGAGTAGTTTTACCAGACCCCGACGGGCCCATAACGGCTGTAAACTCCCCCGGGTGGATAACACCCGAGCAATCCTTCAGAATCTTGCGTTTACCAACGGTGAAGTTAATCCCCTTCCATCCAAGCGAAGGCACGCTGAAGGATATCAGAGTACTGATAACACGATAAGGCCGTTGCATGGCTTACCGTTCTGGGAGGGGGAAATGTAGTTTACCACCAGAAAAAGTCTCTACACCAGTTTCCAGGTCTCCTCTTCCGTTTATCGACGGGTCCATATAACAATGAACTACTGGAGGGACCAATAGATTTATCAAGACCACATCCCTTCTCCGAAAACCAGGTGTCCAGCGAAAAGAACAGCTATGAAGAGCCTTGGCTCTGTCGAGCGTAGCATTCATTAACACACTTCAACCACGCTCGTCTTACAGTTGGATAATTTTTGCATGTGCTTGTGCTCATTCTGAGCACGCGTGCACAAGGTCGGATAGATAACAGAAAGCGGCAGCATGAACAACGACGCCAACTACTGCCGCAGTAGTTATGCTCAACTGTGATATGAAAGTTTATCGGTCCATGTCAGTTCATTAGGCTAGTGTTGTGAGAGAGATGCCCAGATATCATGCAACACGATAACTTTGCATGGTGCATGGCGCACACTGCGTAGGCGCACAATGCAGTGAGGAAGCTGCGTCGTTGACCTACAGTTTCTTCTAGAAGAAATTCCAACTTTTCGAACCTTGTATATTCTGCAACTGTTGTCTTGATTAGACCAACAGTCCTGACGTATATTTTGCCGAGACCTCAGCCTGTCGTCCAGACCTCAAGTCACAGACCGTGCGTCCCACGCACTGCTTGTGAGCACGTGCTGCTGTGAATTTCGTGGCGAGTGACTTTTTAAGCAGCGTCGTGCATGAGAAACCCCAACTTAAGGCGAATAAGAAGATCTCCTCAAGCTCTTCACTCTTTCTAAGCACTCAGTGAAACACTCAACGTCGGGTTCTAGCGTTCTTCAGGGCCTCCAGAACGCTGATGCTACCGTCCTGTCTCTTATTTCTATGATGCACGCATGCGCATCAGCCTGACCTAGTGATGCACTATCGGCCATCCTCTCTTCATCTGGCCTACACTCGATCTACTCAAGCCCTCTCAGTGCTTTCTATCGTCAGTACGTACTTGTATCTTTTCTTCGTGTCTAGTGGTGCCAGAGGGATTCGAGCGAAACAGAAACGCACCTTAGCTACACTCTCACAGCAAGAATCACATCAAGAACAACGTCCCGTGAGAGAGCAGGAAAATCCTCTATGTTTACGCGCTATGGAATTATGTGAGATCCCGCGAGAACGAGAACGAGAGGCATTGTGCGTTTGACACTCCAAGTGTCATGTCTATCTCGCATGAGGAAATTATGATCAGTTACGATCTCATGCCCAAAGTGTGACACTTCAAGTGTCAACGACTCTTATGAAAATAAGTTGAACGATGAGAGGTTTTCAGTGGACCAAGAGAAAATCAATTTCCAGGCTCACAAGGAGCGAGCGAGCCGACTCATTGGAAATGCATGGCAAGAGGCATGTAAATGAGAGCCTTCCATCGCGTGGATACCTATCCTATCCGGATGCCATCACAGTGATGCAACCAGTAGGTGAGCTATAAATGATAGCATGAGACCGTGAATTGAAGAGTGTCTGTGCTCTGGGAGTGGCAAGTCTCGATTAGCAGAGAATTCTAAGCTCAACACAACACTCTATCCAAACAGTGTCAATTGAAGATTGAATGCCGTTTTCTTTGCCACAATTTTTGACGCGTTCGAAAGGCACGAGTAGATACCGGAGTTGACGGCCTTGAGGAAGGGCCAGATGAGAAAGGTGGCGACCCCACCAAGTCCACGCCGACCCCTACCTGAAGACTTTCCCAGTAGGAGCATCATCTTGGGGTGTCGCAGAGCTACCGCTTTGAATAGACGTATCCACTTCTCAGTCTCTCGAGCGTTCCTACACCGCATAACGACTTCAGGCTGACCGCATGCGTGGGAGCATCGGAAGAGCTTCAGCTGGCTATGACATGCAGGTGAGCGATCATCGTCGTCATCGGATACGACAATGGCCACCTGGAATGCTGAGCTGTTAAGGGAGTGTGAGGAGGTGGAGATTCACTTTCATAGAGTCCTTCGAGAAGGACAGGATAGGCTCAGGCTCATCGGGCTCGGCAAACACATTGATGTCGGTTAGCGACACGCAGATATACGCGTACCTCAGCAGTGCCTCTCAGCGTATCATTCGTAGCGAGAAGTTAACCAGCGTATGTTACTCGAGTTCTCCCTGATGACGCTGCTGCTTCCGCGGTGTAATCGCAACCAGACCCCCACCGACACAGGCAGTAAGTCTTGCGAGAACTCTGCTTATGGACTTCTCTAAGAGTGCCCATTGACCAGCCTGATCGGAAGATCCATCGAAAGGATAAACACAAGGAGCTCACTCTCTCCTCGGCATCGTCCGCTCTAACCTTAGCACTCGACAATTCGCCCTTCAAGACTTGAACCTGGGCTCTCAAGTCCTCAACTGAGGGAAGCTCCCCTCGAGAGGTGCGCATGTTGCTGGTCATCAACTCCGACATACGTCTAAGCTCCTGCGAGGGACATGCCCGAAATCAGTTCTCCATCGCTGATTCATAACCTACCTTATCCTGTTTTCTTATAATTTCCTCCATCTCCATCACTCGTGCTTCAAGGTTCATCGTAGATCCTGAACTATGATCCTGAGCAAAGTGGGCATGTGTCGCTGCTGGGCATAGTCCACTCACCTGAGACTGTTGGTCAAGACTCCTGCGACGTGATCGTCTAAGTTCTCTCTCGAGCCCATCGATACGGTCGGTACTCTCTCGCAACAGAGCCCTATAGCGATCATTCTCCTGGCGCAACCGGAGGACCTAGGCGGTGTGATCACGACACGTGATCCCGCTGGCTCACTTCCTCAGTGGCATCTGCTGTGTCCGGTAGTGGTGACGGGCTCCAGCTATTACCGTCACCATGAATGCGCTCAGGAGCGTTATGGGACCCATCTAGGTGGCTATGGGAGGTGGCTTCTGCTTGCGGGGACGTATGTGGGGTCGATTGCTCGTCATGAACTTCTGGATTTTTAGTCGGTTGCCGAGCCCACCCAGACGAAGGTGATGCCCCGAGTGATGGGTGTATGGTAGTCCTTGAGACACCTTCCTCATCTCGACCACCTGTTGGTCGCCTAGCAATGCGTGTCGCACTACGGTTACACGATGACCAGGAGGCCGAACCTGAGCATCTCAGATGGATGAGGTTGATACGATATGGGATATCCGTGAAAGGTTTTGTCTACTGTGATCTTCAACTGTTGACCCTCGTCTAGAAGGCTCTCGAGTCGTTGATGAGTCTATCTCGGTTTGGAGTGCATTAACGCGTCTCTGCAATTCCTTCAGTCGAGCTGATGTGGGGGATTGTGCTCGCTGCCGACCTTGCATGGTTAAGTTTCCATAAAGTCAGGTCATGCTGAAGGATATTCCATAATTCTAGAGGGCTCTAACCCTTGCGACCTTCCCATGAAATACCAAGATTGCTCCATGAATGCGAAGAATCGAATTCACAAGCTCGATAACACAACTTCCATGTATTTTCATGTAGGTTCCCATTTTTAATGAGGAAACTGTCGTTAGCAACTCACCGAATCGAGATGATGCCAGCGGTATGGACGGATATATCCGTACTTGTAACATTGAAACACATCCAACATTGACTGATGAAGGTCGCGCTCCTGATACAGAGAAGCGGACGTTTAGAACAGTTTTCTTTCAGAAACCGCCAGTGGAGGAAATAATGTTTTTTCATTCTCACAAAGTGGAAATTCACAACCTATCTCGAAGGCCTCAGAAATCATCCAAGACCCAAAACAACCAACGATCTAGGATGACTCCCATAACGACACGAAGTGATCTGCTATGACGCTCGACCACAGAAGGGGGCAATCTGTTGTACCTCACTAAGCAATTATTGACCTCACCCACTTTTAACACGACCCCGACTGAACAGAAGCATTGTCGCTATCAACACTCAGGTCAAAACGACATTCACACGAAATACTCGACTGCATCCTATATTGGACCAGCAGACCGTGAATAACGCTGATGAAATCTACAATGTAGAAAGTATCATCAACCCTTCCTGACTTCTCATCAACAGATCGTCGAAGTATGTATATATTGAAGGTCTATTATGGATTATCTGAATTCATATTTCTTACAGTTCCTCGCCCTTATCGGCCTCAGAGTCCTCCTCCTCGTGAGCAGCCTTGCCGGCAGCAACGCGCTCCTTCAGACCCTCTGAGTTCGAGTGGTGCTCCTCAATCCACTCCCACATGCCCTCAGCCTCACGAGGACCATCGTACTTGATAGGCTCAGTCTCACCAGCCTTCACATAGAAGAGACTAGGGAAGCCTTCCCAGGAGATGCTCTCAACAGGAGAGTCATTGGCAGTGCCATCCATCTTAGAGAGCACGACCATGTCATCGAGACCTGACTCAGCGATCTTCGTAGCAACCTTCTCGTACTCAGGGGCAAGCCTCTTGCAATGACCACACCAAGGGGCGTAGACTTCAAAGAGAACATCCTTGTTGGGCTGGAACACGTCCTCCACTAGAGTGGACCCAACGACAACGTGGATGGGCTCGTCTTGAGAGCTGGGCACAGGCTCAGATTTCAATGTCGGCTCAATAGAACCGTCAAGAACATTCTTCAAGAACTCGTCGACCTTGGGAGCAGTCATCTCACCAGTGTAGAGATATTTCAGCTTGTCACCAGCCTTCTTGTTAACAGCAAGAGTAGGAAGCTCAGTCACACCAAGCACACCCTCGAGGAACCTCTTGAACTGAATAGTATCAATGTAGAGGAAGGCGAACTGGTCCTTGAACTCCTCGGCTACTTCCTTAATGAGAGGACGATATTCGTCGGCGACCTTCTCAAGATCATCGCTGGACTCCATCTCGAGACAGGCCCAGACAAGACCCTTTCCAGAGGTCATGTACTTCTCGTAAGTCTCACCGTCGAGAACACCGAAAAGAGGAAGTGTGTTGTCATCGAGGCACTTCTTGAGACCATCAAAAGTAAGATCATCACAAGCGACAGGCTCCTCACTCTTATGCTGAACACTCACAGTCGGCTTCTCAGTGTCAACCGCAACATGGTAGAAGGTGAACTCCGTCCTCTTCCTAGCAGCAATCTCCTCGAAGTCAGTAGAGGCTTCAGGCCCCTCATAAACACAGATAGGCTTCGTGCCGGCCTGCTCCTCAGCCAGCTTACGACTGCTGATTTCCTTAACAGCAGGACCAGTCATCTCAGTGCACCAACTCTTGATCTCAACCGCAGTACGTCCACCACTGTACTCTGACTTCTCACCATCAACGAACCAGAACATCGTAGGGAAACCTCTAATGCCATACTCCTGAGCCATCTTCTTATTAGCAGTGGCATCGATCTCAGCAAGCACCAGCTCCTCCTCGCCCATCTCCTCAGCGAGCTCATTAGCAGCCTGCTCGAACTCGGGAGCAAGTCGCTTGCAGTGACCACACCAGGGAGCGTAGAACTTCACCAAAGAGTATCTGATGAGGAAATGATCACAATCACACGTAGGAGGAAGAGTAAGCCGGCCCTTACTTGTGACCCTTGACGAAGTCGTCCATAGTGTCATCACTCAGCTGGTGAACTTTCGACTCCGACTCAGCAGCGGCGAAAGCCACGGCAGCAATTGCTGCAAAAACTGCGGTGAATTTAACCATGAGAAACAATAGAAACTCACTAACATTTACAGCACTACAAACTACCTCCCCCACTTCACAATCTCCAGAGTCTAGAACCATATGGGAGGTTATTTCCTGGCTGCAACGAAACCCAATATTCTTTCAACAAGTACGACCCCATCACGAACAAGGTCTTTAGCGCTAAAGGATGCCACACACAAACATGGCGCTGGAGACAAGTACCCGAATGAGAACGACCACAACGACCAACGCTGGTGTTTGTAGCTTTGTGACGCGTGACACAAAAAAGGAGACAGAGCTGACGTGTGATTCTCTTCTTTTCATGGCTGCAAGCTGTGAATTCTCTACTCCTCATTACACTCCTATTCAACCCACTCGGGAACCTTACATGGTGTTTTAGAATGTCTACCGAATGCAACAATATACGAAAATGGAATGCGAATGAACATACCCTGTTGGACCGTGTAAGGGCACTCTCTGTGGGGATAGGATTATTTGAATCACTTCAGAAGAAATTACACGCCTGTCGACAGAATCGTTCTCAACAACCCAACTTTTGTCAATGTGTCCCCACCGAGCTAGTCTCGACTTACAACAACACAAAACGTCGTCAACAATAACAGAAACACACCAGAAAAGACCTCATCATGCAGTCAGCTCAACACGGTCTTCTCTTCGACGCCTCCTCCGTAAAGCAACAGCAGCAGCAAGACGCCTTGTTTGCCTGACAGCCAATCACACGGTGAACCACTAGAGTCCAATACTCACTTATGCGAGGCACCGCTAGCAGCAAACATCGCTCCGCTAGCCGTTATACTCCTTTTTCGCCGTTTTGGTGTGAAACTCGTGATAGCCCGCGCATATTGACGCAAGACCTTCTCAAGAGACCTTTAACGAGCCCCCAGACTAGCATTCCCTACCCGCGACGTTATCCCCTTATGGTCCTCCATCAGACTCCCCATATTGCCCAACCTCAACTGCACTGTCGCTTCATAGAGCTCCTCCAGCAACTTGTGAGTAGTCGTTTGGGACCTCACCTCTGAACAACCACAGCTGTCCTCAGTCCAGCACAATACAACCCACCGTTCAAGTGCTTTACAATGAGCCGTACCACTTCAGCTGCACCAACAGTGTCATGAACGCCAGTAAGTGCCGCATAAAGGGCACACTTTGTAGGCAACTGCGTTATACCACACTTCCGTCAACTCATGCCAAGGAACTCCCTACACTGTAACTAGCCGCCTCGTACACAATCGCAGTACTGAGCTCCTTGAGAGACCTCGGAGACGCCAAACTACCATATCTGAAAGCTTCTGTCCTTACTACTTACTCCACCCATCTTGCGCGATTGCGCATGCGTGCAGAGCTAATGAGGCGCCATCTCTAATACGTTGAAGCCGAGATCTTCACAACTCTCCACGGTAGAGAACTCCATGTGGTTAATGGTATACAACATTTGACCAATTACAGTATGAAGAATCGGAACATGTACGACATATGTGGTCGGAAAATATGCACATATGAAAATTCCAAGACGAAATTTTTGAGAAGTTCTGCTGGTTTTTTCATTTACACGAATTCGAGTGGGAATGTACAGAAACCAACAATGTGAATTTACCAAAATTTCCTCGAAATTTCCATATTATCACCGACACACATACAGTTGGCCATGTGTACACCTCCCCACACTGGAAGGTGGTCACGACCAATACCCCACTACTGATCGTACATCAACCTAACATGCCTCGGTTCGAGCTCTCTTGACAACTTAGTTTTAATCCTCCCAGATAAAGTCTTCATCGTAGAAGTTACAATAGTCTCATCACAAGCTCCTAAGGCAGCCCACGCCCGACACATATCCCCCAGTGTCGCACCTGAGTGGCCCCATCCAATACCAACAACACCCCTACACCCACTTTCACTGCTTGCTATCAAATCTGCTAGACGGAGCAGTCGGGAGTCATGACCCCCCGGTAGAGCCAATAGCTGCATCCATACGGACACCACAGACGGCAACTGCGACTCCTACGACTAAGCATCTCATCGACACCTCATCTATACGCACCTACTCTCAACCCACCGAGGATCTTGGTCTCGTCCAGCTCAGTGACCATCACTGCGGCGAGCTCCACCGGAGCCACCTCAGCCAAGACCTTGATCGCCCTTACGCGACTTCCCTTAGATGATGCAGCAAGAGTCGGACATATCTTCTTGCACACCTCTGTGGTCAACTTCTGTTCTATACTGTACCTATCTACTGACTTGGGACATTCCCACATAGGAACCCTGACCCGAGAGCGATACTCTCCAACACCGCCAGCATTTCCTCCTCATTGAACCGCCCTTCAACCGCTAGAGCATCGACGATTTCACTCAATGCTCGCGTGAATAATCTCCTTGAGTCTTCTTGATCAGTTGTCATCAATACACCAGACTTGACAAGGCCTTCCAACACCATTACAGGGCTCGTAAACCGCTCTGAGAAATAAACTAGAACGCGTCGTACTCCTAAACGTAGCGATATTGTTAAGCAGTGTTGAAATATATATTCGCTTTCCTCAGCTGAGCTCAGGAGTTTTCTTACTCATTTATACACTAATTCTAATAGCAACAATTTCGTCAAAAATCCCATATTGTCACCAACACATGTATTTGACCATATGCATATTTCCCCACTCTGGTGTTACCTATTTCGTCTGACTTCACCACGAGCTGCCCGACCATCTCCCGAACGAGCTCCTTTGCGTCGACTCTGGCAATCTCACTATTTCCCAACGATGAGCAACTGCCGACCAGAAGTGTCACTAAAGTGGAGGAGTCCAAATCTGCACTCCTTCCATAAACCGCCTTCAGAAAGCGCATGAACGGCTCTGGTTCCGTAGGGTACGGACAACGATACGCTAGCAGAGAGCTCAGTAGAGTCTTCACATCCCCAACAGTGAAGGAGCTCAGCTGAGTGCAAACTCCATCTACCAGAAACGACTCGAAATAATGACTGTCCCTCACATCGAACCTGTGCGGGAATGACCACATAGGGTTCACGGTGCACCCACCTTTCCAAAAGCTGTGGGAACTGTGCCAACTCTGAGGGGGGTACGGAGGCGAACTCTTCCCGATATGAACGTATGATCCGCCTGAAAGTAAAAGCCCAAGTAGCACCTCTGAATCTCAGCGCGAATCTTAGGGTCCACAATGGAAGATACAGATTAGGTCCATTCAGCGACCATTCCAAGCCCCAGTGAACTCACGTGAACGTCCTCAATCGAAGCAAACGGCCCACCCGTAGCAGCACTTCGACAAGACCTTCACCGTAATAGCCGCGCTAAGAGTGTCCAGATTCACTCTAGTATAATCAACCCCAAGCGCCTACCTTAGTGATAGCCGCCACGGCTCGCTGATAGTACGGCAAGAAGCCCTCACGAGCCACTTTGACCTTCGAGAAGTACTTCATCGTTTTCATCGACTCAGCCAACTCCTTGAGAAACTCCTTAATCTCCATATCTAATCAAACTACACCTCATCAGTCTACCAACATCGTCCTACCTCCGTCCAGCACAGCCGTTAACGCCGCCTGATGGACCTGCAGTACGCCTTCTAGCATTCTCTCCGTCACCTCCACCCCACTGTGCCGCAGATATGCTACTGCTCGAACCTAGGACAAGGGATCATGTGAAGAACGAGAAGTGTGGTAAGTAATTTCAACTCAAATAAAAGAACTTCCTATTCATATGAAGGACCGATCTGTCCAAAGCCCATGTCCCTTATTACTGCAGCCTCCATGCTTAGCCGTCGTCGTAGCTGCTGAGCATCCCCCTCCTCTAGTAACCCCTGTAGCAGGGTCTTGACCTCCTCCAAAGTAACCACCTTGGTGATGCTAGCCATCGACTCCACCTCCATATCGGGTAACTCTACCGCCAGGAACGCTCGAGGAATCTGCAGCACATACACTACAAATACCAAAACTTCGTCATCAACTCAGAAATTTCAATCCTGCCAAACTCGGTGAAATCATAAAGAATATAATAAAAAATGATCCCCTTCAGAATTCGAGCGAGAGTTGAAAATACTTTCGACTTTTTCTCATCGCGTCAACATCCTCCTACCCAAACTGCATAGTTCGAACATACGTTGACTCAAGAGTTTCCTCGCTCCTTATAGAAGTTCACCTACGAGTCCTGCTACTAAAATTCCTCATAATTTTCACCAACACATGTAGTTGATCATATGCGTCTCCTCCCAAAATACCATGGCAGCAGCCAGACAAGCCCCTGAGGGGTCCGCCAACTTCCTTTCGTCTGACCTCAATACCTCTGTTAACTCTACTGCCATCTGCATCGACATGTCACCATGCAAAGGACCCTAGCCCAGCTCACCTCATCTGTGAGCTTTCTACTCCTCATAGCGCTGATGAACACAGCAAAACTCGACTCGCCTACTTCAGCTGAAGCGAATCTCCGGAAGAGGTACCCCGGCAAACTGCCACATCGTCCCCACCCCTGCCGTAATAACATGAAACTAGATGTAGATTTTCAGCCAGTATTAAAGTAACTCAACTCGCAAGGTGAAAATGAAAATAAGCTATTCCCATCATCACCACCACAATGACGATCAGACTAAATAGCAGCTGCTGGCTGATGAACAGCACTTAAGATTGATCTATAGTCGAGTTCAGGTTGTCGGAATCAACACAATTAGCTCTCTTTAGATGCGGGGCAGTGTTCATTCGCTGGCCAACATTCGCTGTGTAAAACCCAGTAAAAACTCATCCTAGCAACACCAGCGGAGTCGGCTATATCCGAGAGCCTCCATCAGCCAGGGTTAGAAAGCACATATTGCTATAGAACTCTTCATCATGCTACAACTACTACCATTATCATGGTCCTCATTACCACGCCTTGGCCTTCTCGACGACCCACGAGGCGACTGAACAGATAAGGATGATCGTCGCACAACACATCTATGAAAACGATCCCTATGACCAATGCCTCCATTATTTCGGCTTACGCCAAGGGGAGTACACTACAAAGCCAGTGTGGGGAGATATGCACATAGTTAACTATATATGTCGGTGACAATATGAAACTTTTTAGGAAATTTCGGGGAAATTAATGTTTTTTTCTGAACACTTCCACTTGAATTTGTATATACGCCCCTTAGATCAGCGAGAAAACTCCCGAGCTCAGCTGAGGTAAGCGAACACTGTACAAAGTAGCAGCACGTACTTACCGGTTTAAACACATCCCTCCCCCCTATGGTACCTCCGTGCCCATATTACCGGATCAGACTGCCGCCGCCGCCTCCGTCGGGGTTGTCGTCGAGGTCTTCTACTGCTACTATCTGCATTATCCTTCACAGAGTGGCTGGACCTCTCCTCCTCCTCCTCAGTGCACTCTGGTGATGATGATGATGATGATGATGATGATGATGACATTCGTGTTGTTGTTGGACGATAGCAGCTCCTCATCTCAGAAGAGGTCATCTCTCGTAGCTCATGAATAGGAGTTAGAGTACCCCGAGGTGTGGTATGGTCATGATGATAATACGGCCTAACAACAGTAGCCGAAATCATCGCTAACCACTTCCTTGCTTAAGAAAAGCTACTACTACTACTACTACTACTACTACTACTACTACTACTACTACTACTACTACTACTACTACTACTACTACCTCCTTCCACTTCGACTTAGTTGTTGTTGATGATTATGATACACCAAACCACCACAGAGTGGCGGCCTCCCCCCACTCCTCCACATATAGAGTGCGCTAGAGTTAGTACTCGTCCCAGAGGACATAGTGCCATCCGATACTGAGCTCTTATCACTACAGTTGGAGCCCACAGGAGATGGACAACTACAACTTCGACGATAGCATCGAATAGTCCTCCAAGACGGGCAAGTACGGATGAGAATCTTCTTATAGTGATGATGACCTACGATAGGACTAAAACTCCCAATGACAGTAGTAGGTTAGTACTCGAATAAAATGACTTATGTCGCACAAAATCGTCGTCGTCGTCGCGGACCTTCACACATATGTGACTCGCAACACATCCCATATCGGTCGATGTTGACTCCTGCTCTACGCAGTCGAGCAAGCAAGCGGAACAAACCAAGCAAACCTACAAAGTCAGTAACTGTTTAGTTCAGAAGGGACTTGCGGTGATCTGTCAAGCGACCAACCCAGGTTCAACCCGAACGTCCTTCAAAAGAGTAATTTTTCTATTCGACTCACTCAAAACCTCCTACCGCTACCACGCCGACATCAAAGTCGAATACACTCACCCATACGGTACAAATGAGTATAACAAACAATGGAAAAACGCAACACTGTTAAGATGAGACAGAAATACTCCCTTTGATCACGGTAAGGTACACTACACCCTCCTATTGCGGCCAATGGATATACACAATACTCTCTGGCCGATCCGATTCTCCTGGACCGATATGCAGTCGTACGATAGTTGTTATGTTGTCGAGATGTAGTATGCAGGGCAATAATCAAATGCAGCAGCTGTCTACGGTGCAGTGAGCGGTAATGTTAGTCACAAATAGAGGCTGTTCACGGAGTCGGCCGGAAGGGTAATGGAAAATGAAGAGAGGGAAATGTTCCGGGGGTGACGAGCACTCCTTCCTACGAGTGTCAAGAACACTGAAAAGTATGGACCGAATCGATGGTGTTGGTAGTAGAATATGATGAATGCTATACGGAGGTAGATGAGCTAACATGGAGGAGGAGGAGATGATGTTGTTAGCAGACAGACAAAACGAGAAGGTCGAGATAGGTTACCTATTTTAGGTATGTCGTCGTATATAGGACAAGGCTTTACTAGCGAGATAGAAGTAGAAGAAGGAGCAGCGCGACTCCTCATGACGATTAACCGGAGCGATTTCGTATTGAATCAGAAAAAAAATTATGTGATAATAATCAAAAGTCTCGATACAATAATGTTGAAATACTAGAGCTACTACTCTATCTAGATGATACCCGACTGCATGCACGTACCTATTCACACACATTACATAGAAGCCTAGGCTAACACCCAAACCCTACCATGCATCTTTGGACCAGTTCGCGAATATCTGACTCGTTCACGAGCCTGAGAAACAAGAAACTCGATGAGGCAATTTTATGGTATCGCGACATCACCAATGATCATCATCGTAGATGTTCCGAGTAGGGATATCGGGCATGACGACTTGGTAGGTCTCGGGAACAGTCGGTAAGCGAATACCAGAACTAATCCTACGTCCACCAACACAGTGGAAGGAAGTTCCATGATATACACGTCTTGGCGATGAACTGATAGAATAGAAAACAGATCATGAGAAATAGAGATGGAAAAAGTCGTACTGTGGTTCCTGGAAATCAACTGCTTTCCTGGTGTAGTTAGAGGGAAAATTCATGTACATAGGAAATCACAAAAGCTGTGATGATAAACGCACTTCGAGAGAACCGCAGGAGGAACAGTCGAATCACTAATTACAAAGTAGCCCAATATTAGTCTGTGCTAGCGCAACGCGCTGGCCAGAAAAAGTTCCTGGGAATTGGCGAGCTACTGAGAGCATTTAGGCAATACTATTGCTGTCATAAAAACCCTGCACAATTGCCAAAGTCCAAAAGTATTCTACCAAGAATCGAACCCGGGTTGTTATATCACGAGCGAGAGTGTTTAACCCTTTACACTATTAACACTTTAATAAAATGTTACCTTGACAGAACCCAAGGAGGCAGAGCCTGAGCCAACGTGGCTACTATACTAATCCCAAAATTACTGATCGCGCGACAGTGAATCTGTTACCACAACTGTGTATACGTGTAAGCTGGCACGCAGACGCAGACACATGAAGAAAGATAGCAGGGGCCTATTTCACAAGCGTCCTAACGTTGCAACCCATTAGGATGCAATTTAAGGATAAATGGCGTTCATATAGGCCCTTTCCTCAAGTTAGGACTTTAGGACATTAGCATCCCCGCCGTTAGGATTTAGGATATTAGGATGCCGTTATCCTCAAAAACAGGCCTTCGGAGAATTTGAAAGATTAGAAAGTTAAAATTGCCTTCAACATTCTTCCACCTGCCAGACAAGTGTAGCTCGCTTTTTCGATAGCGGATATTTCATCCCGTTATCAGCGATGGCTTCGTGATTTGTCGATTTCATTAGCACTCTCCGCATCTTATTAATGTTTTACATGTGAAATTTACATATTGTGTTATCGTCGAATAATCTCAACTACACTTTCGCTATGCACTTGCGCTACTTATGTCCACACATATCGGCGAGTTTTATATTTTTCCCTCGAGTTCGTATCGTACGTTCTTGTTGAACGCCTTGAAGCTTCTTAGTTCACCTATTTACAATGCTTTCCACCACTAGTCGTCTCCTCCCCACCACTACTGCCCTCTTCAGAGTAGCGCTAGCTACCCCGAGATTCCATCTGGGCACCACGCCCAACTTCGTGAGGAGTACTACATTCAACCGCGCCTTCGCTACTGGTGTTACAGCGACCACTGGAGAAAGCGATCCCGTAAGTTGGCTTGGTCTTTACTGTTGGTATCCCTTCGATTACACTAAATGATCTAGTGACACTGTATGGCCGTAGCTTAGCGAGTTGGACTCTCATCATTCACACATCTGTATTTCTCAGGACTTTGCGCCCAAGTCGAAGGTTGATACTGAGGACGTAATACGCCCTGGCATTTGTCTTTGTAGACTATTCGTGTTGTAGGTCCACGATAAGATTAGCAAGCTTGTTCATGACAACCGAGTAGTCCTATTTATGAAGGGCTCACCAGCGGCACCCAAATGTGGATTCTCCAAGGCGGTGGTAGGTCTACTTTCGTCATCTTTTTTTTACTCATTCATCCTCAGTGTGCCGTCCTCAGCGCGGAAGGCCTCACTGATTTTACTTATGTGGATTGCCTCAAATCCGATGCCGTCAGAGAAGGTACTGCTCTTGTTCATTGGAGTTTCACCCGTTTTCCGTGAAGTGGTGTAAAACTCGGTGAAAAAATGAGTCGTGAAATATATATTTTTCACTAAAGTTTTCATATCACGGGTGAAACTCCATTGTTCTCCCCATCTACATGGCTTGCCAACCGCCGGCTCTCATGAACGCATCTTCATATGCACTCCTACTCTGTTCAACATCGTATTCCCCCTTGCTGTCCACTTGTACACAATCCTTGACTTTCGATCTTACAGTGTATAAAAGTACCATAAATCTTGCCAGGTATCAAGAAGTACTCAGAGTGGCCTACTATCCCCCAGTTGTATGTTGATGGCGAGTTCTTAGGAGGCTACGACATTATAGTAATATCATACATCGTTAAGGTCGTCTTAAAAATCAGTCGAGGCGTACTATCACATCGTCTCCGAAATGTAGTTATTCATTTTCCCACTGGTTTTGTCGCATTTCAGTCCTCTATGTATCGTGAAGGTGAATTGAGAGAGCTAATTGCTGAGAAAGGTCTTAAGGAGGACACCAAAAAGGAGTAAAGAACCAATCCCAGTTTAATTTATTCATAGTTTCTCCCAGTACTTTGTTTGTTGAGTTTTCATGTGCAATAAATTAATCTCTTCGTTACCAATACAACACAAATTCTCCAGTTGGTTTGAAAAATTATATAAATTATCACAGTCCTCGAGTGGCAAGGTACCTGCTAAACAGATTGACATTTAGCTTAGTTTCACTGAACTACTACCACTACCAAGTTCGAGTTTTGAAGTAGATCCACAACCATGGCACTAGGCCCGCTATCAGAAGTATCGCACTTATTGCCGAGAACGATCGAGAGTACTGCATCTCCGGTGTGTAGAACAGACTCATGATACCAGAGGAGATGGATAGGGCACCTGATGATGGTCAGAGGGAAAATGGAGGAAAACCACGGGGCTTACCAACGAGTAGTGTGCCTCTCATTGAGGAATACACAACGGGTAGATTGTGCTCGCCGAAGAGGTCGGTACAGAGCGGTGGGGTTAATGCCCACATACCACCAAAACAAAAGCCTATCAGTGGGCCGGATAGGAATAAAACACTCACTGTTGTTGATTTCGACAGTAACTGAGAACATGAAAAACTTTTCGGAATTCTCCAAAACATTTCCCTACTGTGAATGCTGCGGCCATCATAGCGATCAGGAGCACCACATAGCCGGGCCTAGAAAGGAAGGTGAGCCTATCAGCGGCCCAACCCGTGATGACTCTAGAAGCCGCACTGGTAGCCGTAACCGTTGTGAGCAATGCCCCCACAATATGAGCTCGATCTGTGGTGTCGGCGGAAGGGATAATCTGAGCCTGATTGTTGATGAATGCCAAGCCGCCACCATATGCAGCTGAGAGACCTATAAAGGCCTCCCAGAAAAGGATGCTCTTCAGAGGTTCATCACCGCTGTAGTAGTAGAGGAAGTCGCTCCTTGCCATCGCTGGGGAAATAGCGGCGTATTCGCTTGGATTGTTGACAAGGCGTTCGGCCCGAAGTGGGTAAGCTACCATTAGGGCGAATAGCAATACCACGAGCAGTAGACCCACCCATTTGGGGACTCCTAGAAAGAAATCCAGTAACTGTACAAGGGCTAGTGTGAGGCCTAGTGCATTGATACGACCGAATATGTGGTTACACACATCACCACTTGGGCATAATGAAGGATCGATGGCAATGAACAGCGCCGACAGAGGTATTATGATGAGCACCATCATCACCACTAAGAGAAGAAATGATAGCGGGCTACTATCTGACTGAGTGCCATTGAAAGTGATGAAGAGCAATGTTATAGTGGGCGCCGCTACACCAAAGATGCACTTGGTGATTCCTGTGGCCTGGCCCTTAGCTGTTGGGTAGTTGGTAGTATTAGCAGTGACCGCAATACAATCTAGCCATCCTGATCCATGGCCCATTGTGAAGGCCAACAGATAGGCTACTGCTACTAGTCCTAAGTCACCAAGTACACTCTGGACTGCCGTCACAGTAGAGATAGTATACATTCCTAGATACCTATATCGGCATACAATGGTGTCACCATGTGTCACCACTTACCCTACAATCATTAGAATGCCAGCAATCATAATGGCGATCTTGAGCCCCCATGTGGTGATACAGAAGCCTGCTGGTGTCACCAGCCCACCACCAACATTCAGGAGAGCCGGTACCTACTGTGAAAGACGGTACTACCAACAAACGCAGAGTTCCCTCACCAGTGTTAGTTGAGACCGACTCATGCCTAGTGCATGCATAAGGGCATCACTATACAGAGGGAAACAGTATCCAATCCCGGCCAGAAGGACCAAGACAAAGCTCATGCTCAGAGACTTCCATCGGGACGATCTCGTAATGTGCATCATAATGGCATCTACCATCACGTGGATGAGAAAAAAGACTCCGCTCCGCTACACACTTGGTATTCATAAACCCAACAGCCCTTGTGAAGGATCGATTGAAACGGCAAGCAAACGTGGAACCTAGAAGTGACCTTCACAGTAGATGCGGAATCCCGAGCGGGTGTGGTGCGTTGTGAGGAGATAGAAAACTAACGGGTTAATCTTGCTATCGGTGATTATCCAACTCGCTGTCCTAACCGGGAGACTGCGAACAGTCACTCAGAAAGGACCTGTACACTTCCCAAGTAGCATGCCCCATACAGTTCCACTAGTCGCCTACACTAACATCCTCTGGGGAAACTCTTGTTCCGCAGGGCCTAAACGCATGCCCATGCACAACGATAATGATACACTACGAAACCTCCTAAGGCGCCCCGCCACGGACCCCTAGGCTGTTGCCTAGTTTGCCTAGGTCTCAAATCAGCCCAGCCTGCTACTCTAGTCCACCGAGGATCAATACGCTACTGTACGTGTACTTATCATACAATGTCCACATGTGAAAGTTTCTGAGTGATTTAAACTAGTATGGTGTTGTTATAGAGGTTTTTTGAGGATCCAACCCTTCTACTATTACTCGGCTCTATGTTGAAGGGAAAAGCAATACTTAATCTTCTATGATCATTTGCGTATAGTTATGGATCATTATCACGCTTACTAGCGTCATTGCTGTGAGCTCCTTACAAGTTTTGTAGAAGTGAGAGGTAACAGTAAACTCTCAGGATTCGCCGATTATTTCGGAGAAAATCACACATTAATCGACGTTTTCGCGCACTTTATGCACATCGGCGCACTTTTCTCGTGTACTATTCTTCATCGTTGCTTCCATGAAACTGTTGCACAGGGTGGAGTTATTTGGCTATATAGTTGAACCCAAGGGGCCTGTAGACGAGCCATCACGGTAGGAGAAGGTCACTCTTTTTTTTCTTGCGACACAGGGCAAAAACCAGGTATAAATATCGACATCGTGGGCGCGGGGGTCAAGTTAGTGAGGGACACATTCCTGTTGGTTTTCGGTCGGTTTTGACAACGGAAACTGGTTCAAAGCTCTACCTCACAACAAGGGACAGTAAACGGGGGATAGGGCCGGAGTAAGAACATGCGAGACGGAGAAATTACACAACATGTGCAGATTCTCCGTGAGCTGGCAGAAATTGGAAAATGTTATTTCTGAGTTTAATACTTCCCTTGATGCAGTTTGGATGGACGTTATGATGTGAGTATATCACGTACGCGACACTTTATAATATTCGAATAATTATTAAGATACTTGGAAAAGAAAGGCTTAGTCACTCTGGCTGAATTGGAATACCTCGATGCGGATCCATTCCTATTGTTCGGAATAGAGCATCCAGCCACACAAAAGGCTCTCAAACGTTTGCAAAAAGAACCGATTCTTAAATGCGAAGGAGACACCCCAAGTGAGAACCCTCGCGGCGGCCGCATTGCGCAGACCTCTTTTCGTAGCCGAAGAGGAATGGATGGGTTACCTTTGCATGGACCCAATAGATGATGCTCACTACAAGTACTGCTTCGATGTCAATACACACAGTACTCTTCTTATGTGCATAGATGGGTGGTAGAAGCCTTCGCTGAGGTAGAGTTGACACTACCATGGACTAGCTATAAGGGAATCGGCAGTATCGTTTGCTTTACCAATTCTGATACAAAAGCAGGAAAAAGTCGTTTTCTGTTCCGCCTGATAGTTTGATATCATTCAGGTCACTACTTGGCGGCACCCACTGTACGACTATTTCCGTCAGCTTTTGTCTTATTGCAAGACGGTCGACGATTATGAGGATGTAGGGGGACAAAATACATGGTGCAGGGATCGAACCTGCGCTCTCAGATGTTGAGGATTCGGATACACCGCCTACTGTGGAGCTACGAGTTCCACCATTCACATCCAGGAGCTGATCCGGAGCCCCTCATTAGCCCCAAACAGCTGCAGAAACTAGCAGCAATTTTCGAAATTGATCTCGGCAAACAAGGCCAACTCGTAAACTCTATTTCCGTGGCTCAGCTGAGCTTCCTTACAGGTTCGGATCCTCAAGCGTTTCCTCAAAGTTTTTGCAGCAGAATACCAAAAATGCAACGACATATCAAAAGAGCTGTGAGTCACTAAATTCCTACCACGCGCCATCCTATTCGCAGAGTCATCACTTGTGTCAACACTTTGGCTGCAGAAAATGAACGCTGGAGCGTTTTGAAAGACAAGTGGCAAGAGGTAAGGATGGACACCTTGTGGCTCAGGAAATGATAATGGGTCTCAGACCATCAAAAGAAGCGACAATCATAATATCGAGTTAACAGCTCTAGTGCACGGCAAAGTAGACTGCATCGAGTGCCACGATAAGCCTGCGCTCGCGTGAGTGGTCATTGTGAGAACTAGGAAATGAAACCTTCGCGGTGCGTAGATACTGTCTTGAGTGTCGAGATCATACCTGTCACGACTGCTTCGACAGGCTGCATCGTAAAGGGCTCCGAAGTAAACATATAAAGTTTAAACTCATTCGTTGCGATCTCTGTAAAGCGATGCCTGCGAGATTGCGGTACACCTTTCCTCACACTGATTAGCTAGGACCGTCTTTGTAACTCTCAGGTGTGGAGCCACCAGCAAACCCTTTTGTCATCATTGCTATGCTATGAAGCACATATACGTAAGCAAATACCTCCATCGTCCCCACACTTTGACTCAGACTCTCACCCAACAAGAAAAAGACATGCGGCCGTCTGTGATAGACTACGCGGCTATCAAGGCGGAAGCGCTAGCAAACACGGAGATGAGGGATGAATCTAAGACCACAGAAACGGAAGCTCTTGCTGAACGCCAGGTGGGAATCGACTTATCACAAATCACTCCAATGTATTGCAGGTCAAATGCGGCACTATGGGAATAAGCCGCTCCGGATTCAACAAGAACAGCGGCCAAGGGAGCAAGCCCCGCTCGACTACTTCACGATTAGAAAACGACAAACAGGATCATTTATCATCATCACTGTTGGGTACATTGCTAGTAGCAGCGTTCTTGGCGGGAGTGTGTCGGTTTTTACAGGCTCACAGTGGCATCCTTTCTACGATTCGAGTGGTATCATGTATTATTATAACTTTTCAAGCCGGATAAGAATGCGAGGATCCCTATTAGACCCGAGCTCATCCCGAAGTCGTGATGATGATAATGATGATAGTGTCGATGAACAGTCCTCGTCAGAAGAAGATTCAACTGTTGTATGACAATGCCCGATTGAGAACTACTCAAAGAGTAGAACTTTGTAGCGTATAGTAACCAACAACAAGGACGTATCTAACCGCAGTGTACATGCTGTTAGAGAAGTGATAGCACCCCGGTTGAAGTCGAATACGACTCGGGGCATACCTTGCGACTGCTAACATCAATCTGGTCTACACGATATTCAAGTCGACGTCGAAGGTTGTTTTTTTTAAAACAGCCTCTCATGTGATCGATTTGGGTCCAAACACAACGCCAAAAAGAGTGATAATGGAAGAAAATTAGAGCTTACGAATTTGACAATGATGATTTATAACGTAACACCTTCGACACAGCTTTCTCGACATCTCCCTTTGTTGACATCAATATACGGTCCGTTACCTGCTCACAACCGTCACTGCGCCACAAAATTGCCACCATATCTCTATAAACATTCCCATCGATACTCCAACTACATATAACCTTCCTACAGCCAGTACAATCCAATGGAGATGCACCCGTAGTTACTACAGTTTTATGCAAGTTGCGCGGAGTGAAAAATAGATTTCACACTACGTGAAAAACACCAGCGAAAATCGCCATTTCGTGTAAAACGCGTGACCGATTTCGCAAAATTCCGCCAAGTTCGTGAAATCCGGAGTGTAAAACCCGATCTTTGCTACACATGTGAGTAGCATTGGTGAAAGGTCATTTGATTTTCTGAAAAGTTTCGATCATTAATACACGAAATGCAGGAATAGGCCCCGGAGGCGCATGCCGTATCCTTTACAATTTCGATTTTCTTCCTAACGAGCAAATTGGATTTCGAGTAGCTCGCCAGGATTTTCTGAAAGTACAGTAGTAGCCTGTTCCTCTAAAAAAGGAATTGAGTTGCAATCGGATTATCTTATAGGATCGAGCCTGTCGGGCGCAAGGCCAAAGTCTAACCCACCAAGAAAAGGATCGACGACGAAAAGATTAGATCGACGCATTACACCATTAAGTGAACTACAGGTACCAGGTTCTACGCGAAGTTCGTGAAGTTTATGGGAATTTCGCATGGTGTAATATGAAATGTGTATTTCACTAGTGAACACAGGTGGATCTCCAATGCTGTAAGAATGCTCCTCTCACTATATTCACTAGCAGAGCTACTCAATACGTAATCAGTCACAACCCCTACACTCACCCCTGAATGCAGTTCTGGGAACACTTGCTGTAGTTTCGCCAAAGCCACCATCAAAGGTGACGCTCTAACCTCGATCATCTTAGTGCCGATCACATTCGCGTTCGACTCCTCCTCAAAATCCTCACAGGCTTCCTCATACGGTGAGTCATCATCTTTAGACACTTTTTCATCACCATCACTATCCTCTCGACCACCGCAACGATTTGGTAAAAATTCCAACGAGACCTTCCGCTCGACACGATATGCAGTGCCCTCTGCTGAGCCTAGTCCAGAAGCTTGCTTACTCGAGGCACTGGAAAGTGTTCTATCCAGACGTCCTTGCCTGCGAGAACCCCCCCGGTTCATTCGACTGAAGACGTCTCTGCTTTCTACAGGAGTGACATCAGTCCCAAAGGCTGAGGCAAACAGATCACCATCTGACAAAGAGCTGCCCTGACGTCGTGATGACATAGTAAAGGAGACAACTTTCACACAGGAGACCGCAAATACGTACACAGAAACAAGGATGAGCACCACTAGAGTATTGCTGGTTTTTGTAGTACGAAAACGAATTCACAGTATGGTAGAAGTGTAACAAAACTTGTACAAAAAGGGTCGTGCGTAAATTTCTAAAGTTCACAGTTTTCAAATTCCCCGTATATTCCAACCAAATGAACATCAACAATAAGTAGAAACAACAAATATTCACAATAACTGCGGCACCGACAACAACACTATTACGTGATGACAACCCTAGAGTGCCCTCCAGAGCACCCTGTACGGAGAAGACGTATAAACGACGCGAACAATACGAGATATGATAAACTCAAATGTACCGAGTCGGAGCAGCCACTGAGACATAATCCCTTTCCGCTAGTTGAGGAGGAGGGCCAGCACTCATTGATGGCGGCGCGTGGTCATATTTGGGTATTCGGACATTACGTCCATCAGGCCCTCGTACATACGCTCGCCCTTCGTAATCATAAAGCAAATCTCCCGTAGCGAAATCAGCCGCACCCTCTTCCCTGTGTCGTCTACATAGAGGGGGAAAAATCACGACTTATAACTTTTTTTCTTCCTAATGCGTTACCTCGGTGTGAAAAGAGATACTATGAGGAAAGCTGGGAGGACCATGAACAGCCATCCCCGGAAGGGACTCATTCTATGCATATCATAAGCATACCTAAAAATGACACTTCCTGCATCGCTTCGCTCCGCTAAGTCCTACTGGTCTTTCATTTGTTCTCCCCAAGCCATCCGTTCCCTTTCCATACGTTGTCTTCGATACTCCATCTCGATATCATGAGCTCTCATTCGTGCGTGAAACCTATGAAGTCCCAGAGAGAACGAAAATGAACTTCCTAAGTGATGGAGGCGCAGCATCCTCCACAGCTACTTCTATATTCACTACTTTCAGATCAACACA